AAACGAAATTAGTTTATTCATAAAATACCCTGCCCAATCTATATAGGTTTCTAGTCTATATAAAATTTTAGTATGTTGTCACTCTTGACTGAATAACCAAAAAGTTTCAATGGGCACGAAATTTGAAAATGAATAGAATTTTTACTGCAGTATATAAAATACAGTAGTTAACTCTATTTATATATTTATATCAAAGGCGTATCTAGAGGAAGGGAAATAAATCAGTAATTTAAATATAAATGGTAAATTTGAGAAAGGTTTGGACATAGAGATGGTGCGTGTGGGAAATTTAAATGTAAGTAGTGTATATAATATACATTCAGAAATCGATTAATTAAATTTTTCAAAGTAATTTACTATACAAAATAATTGTAATGTGTTCGGTTTTAATTCATATATCTCTTCTATGGGACATGAAAATCACCATGTGTTAATTGTTATACTTTTAAATGTTTAAACATTTAAACATTTAAAAGTATAACAATTAACAAACGGTGACTTTTATATCCCATAGAAGAGATATATGAATTAAAACCGAACATATTAAGTAGATCGTCGTTTATCCAAATCAATTGGGGACTGGGGTTGTTCGAATAACTTGTTTTTCGGATAACCGATTATGTACGAAAAAATATATTAACCTATCCCGTGTCGAAATTTTTTCCGTTGCGTGTCGCTTCGCGTTAAAGTTTCGTCGATGTTAAGCCTAACGTAAACTTTTTAAAATAATAATCGTGGCTACTGTATCGTTAAAAATGATTTATTTATGTTTCACAAACGAAATAAATACATTGAAAAATATAAAAACAAATAAAAATTTTACTTTATGCCAACTGAAATTCTTTCGGATAACCGACTTTCTGATAAAAGACGCTCTACTGTTATTTAAAACTACATAATTATAGACTTGCCAACCACATAGTCACACAAGCAAATATTTACACTCAAAAATTCTTTTAATAAATGAAAGATTTTTTTTGTATCACTAAGTTTCAAAATAACAAAAAAATTATTTCAGGTAATTATCCAAATGATAAAAACTAATTAATTCAAACGGCAATAGCAAAACAACTTGTTATTATAAAGAAGAGCACTGATTTAGATTTTCTATTGATTTGTCAAGAACCTACAATAAATTTAGCAAATCTCCTCAAGAGTAAAACTTTTAATGATCGTTGAAAATTATTTTAAAACTGCATCAAACAGCTGTATAGGTCGAGGATGCCTGTTTGGGAAGACAGAAGGATTTATGATCGCCACACAGTATCAGATCATAAATACATTTTAATACTTATGATTTGATCCTGTGTGGACCTGATTTAGTACAGAATAAATATACTCAAAGATATAACACTGAAAAATGACATGCAGAAAATGTCACAAAGTGCCAGAAACTATACAACACATCACTTCCGATTGCAAGCTCTTGGCAAAGACAGATTATTTACATAGACAAAATCAAGTAGCAAATATAATACTCCAAGAGTTTGCAAACAAACACTAATTATTAGACATCCACAAACCATACTACAAATACATTCCACAGACAGTATTGAAAAACAACACGCACAAATATATTACGACAGAGCCATAGTCACAGATAAAACAATTTATCACAGCAGACCAGACATAACACACTAATTGACAAACAATAATATCATATACATTATAGACATATTACATTTCAAACTTCCAAACACTCACAACATACAAAACACATGCACTGAAAAACCAGCAAGTACACATAACTCGTTCAGGAAATAAGGCATCTGTGGAAGATGGTTGGAGTGCTTATTGTTCCTGTCGATCTCTTTTCTACAGGTATCATATCACACACACTACACAAGTGCCTCAGAGCGTTACAATTGAATAGAAACACATACGTTAGACTACAGAAGGCCACTATATTGAACACATGTCACATTATTAGGAAATTCCTGATTACAGGACACACATTGACACAATTATTTCATTTTTGTTTAGTTTGGTTGCTATGCTTAGACTCTGGCACGGCATAGTTTACAGTTTCCGGTGTCAACTGAGTATAATCCACTGAACTCAAAATAATAATTCTTATAAGCGCAGAACCCAAACGGTTAGGAAGGAATTTTTGAAAATTTCCCTCGCAGATGTGTGGGAGAAGGTTAAATATTACCATGGAAAACTCTGCTTCAACTGTACTATTTTAAGTGTTGTTTTTTCGTTTTGACTGTGTTGTAATAGGGTATGCTATAAGGATGCACATTTAGAAGAGATTTTTGGAAATCCCACCTTGGGGAAGAGAGAAAAGGTTAATGAATTCAATTAAAAGTTAGTAAATAAAAAATCGCATAACTCAATATTACGACGTCCGAGTTGTAAAATTATAAAGTGTTGTTTGTATAGAGTTATCATAAAACACTTTATAATAAAGTGCTTCATGAAACAGAGTGGACTGCGTATTAATTAAAAGGCGAGGAGTAAAATATTGTGAGTTATTGCAACTAATAAAAACATATATGAGAAAATAAGTTTTTATATATAAGATTGTCAGAAACAAATAAAGTAAATTCTAATATATATGAAAACTTTCTGTTAAAAATTTGCATAATGTATATTTATTTATATCTACAATGGCAGAAAACAAAAGTATTCAATAAGGTAACTGAAAATAATTTTTTTTTAATTGACTACAATATCTATATATTACAATATTGTACTTTTACAGATATAAAATAGTTGAACCAATGCTTAATTGGCCTGCAAGGTCATATATAAATGGAACATATATTGGAATTCTTGGACAATTGGCTAACAAGGTAAGGAATGATGGTATATTGTTTAATTGTTATTCGTTGTCTTGACAGATCCTTTATTTATAAGCACAAATTCTGCTGTAGAGAACAAATCACACACAACTTCCGATTCACGACCATTTTTTATAACACTATTCTGTACCAGTTAGTATCAAATAGTTTCAGGAATACGTGGTACAGTGAAGTTTTCAATGTAATTTATGAATTTTTAAGTTGTATTATAAAAGGTTCATTTTATTTAATTTTTATTTATAGCATTAATATTTATTTTTTAATTTCACAAACATACCCATCATTTCGTTAAAAGAAATTAAATTTTATCATAGATTATGTTGATTTTATTTTATGTATTTTTATTAAATTAACCTTTATAAAAACATATATTAACTTTCACTTCTATAAAGGTAAGCAAATTCTTTTTTAATTAAAAAAAATGTTCTATCAGACTGTTATGTTAACTTAATGTTAATATGAATTTTATTTATCAGCTAATTAACACAAGTTGATTCATCCAGAAGTTACATATAGCCTATTTTGAAAAATAGTTAAAGATCTGTAATAAAAAAGTGAAAAGGGGCAGAATATCCGAAATGCATTACCTGATGTAATAACGTTGGAATAATAATTAGTTGTAATATTTTAAAATGTGTTTTGCTTTCTGCAGACAAATTTATGCTAAAACTGTAGTGTGTAATACATTGGGCGATTTTCATGAAAGACATATTGCTGGGAGAAAGGCAAATTTCTGTTTCTGGAGGAGTATGAAAGTAGTTGTCAAGGAGACATTGATTTATTTAATATTTGAGGGACAAAAAGTACCTTTTTGCTGGCTGTAACCAATGACTGCGGGAATATTTATCACTTAAGTACAGTACAGTTCTTGTTTACAACACAAACATCCACAATAAATCAGCAAATAATTGTTTAACTTTTCCGGCAAACCTAGTGGCTGCATCTGGCATCATATTTATTAAAAATAAATTTTTTGTATTTTTAATTATGATAAAAAAGCAAAAAAAATCGGTTTTATACAAAATTGTCTAACTCTACTCGAGATATAACACGACCCCTTTTATTCTACCATATTTTTTTTAACCGTTTAATAACAAAATTTAATAGCATCAGTTTACTGATAGAGCAAAATTTCAGAAATTTTTGACAAGAAGCACATCAGGTATTATGACAAATAGAAGAACAACTTCATAACATATGCACAACTATCATTTGTACATACAAAAAATACCCCGAATTTTATTGAATTACATGATCCTTAACGTTTCAAGAATTCCAATAAGTCCAAAATTATAAAACTTTTGGGGGTGTCGTTTTTTCGACCGATCGCCATACTATCCTTGTGTTATAAAAAATGTAACTGGGAAAGTAAAATGGGAAATAGTCGCTCGTTGACAAAACAAAACGTTTAATTTCATTAATTAAATCAGCGCTGTCCAACTTATCATAGCCCGCGGGCCATATTTTCTTCACCAATCATTTCGGGGGCCAAGAAGGTTGGTGATGGCTAATTGGTCGGCCGGGAACACGCCACATGACATTTGCATAGTGCTACGGTCTGTAAGCACTAATTGGTCAGCGAGTCCGATGTTGACGCTATAAAAAGGCGACAGTTCGACACACCGGATATACGTCACTCTCGTCTAAGTTCGACTTGGGAATTTTGTTCAATAATAAATGTGAATTCTTCTTCCTGGAAAAAATAAGACCTAGCGCATTTTTCAAAACAAAAATTAATATAAGACACTGTCTTATTTTCGGGTAAACACGGTAGTAAAATAATTTTAATATTAATAATAATAATTTAGTAACATATATTTATTCACATTAAAATGTACTCGCGGGCCCTAAAAATTATTTGGCGGGCCGTCAGTTGGACAGCGCTGAATTAAATCGTTGTAACCAATTTAAGGAATAACAACAGTGTTACAAAATATAACGACAAAATACTCGAAAATATATGCTTTCCCACCATATAAATTATTTATCATCGAAGTAATAATCTATATGTATAAAATTACTTGTCCTGACTGACTGACTGAGTCACTGATTTATCATCGCCCAGAGCAAATTGCTGAACATAAAGAGGTGAAGTTTGGTACACAGTTAGGGTACGTCATGGAAATGCACACTAAGAAGGGATTTTTTCGAAATTACCCCGCGGGGGGAGAGGGAGCGCATTAAGGCTTAACNATGGCAACAGCAATTACCATTATTCTGATTACATTAATTCTTCCTGCAATAATAAATTACCAATTAAACGAAAACGGAAATGGACGTCGCTGGACCATAAAAACAAGTTTTTGGTTTTTATTTTCTTGTTTTACTAATAAAGGTATAAACACTATATGACTCTTTTACTCACTAATTTCAACAACCATATTAACTTTTTATTTTTCAGGGTCTGACATAAGCTACGTAAATCGACTATTTGCGAGAATTGCTGTTGGAACTTGTATAGTAACAATTCTAATATTAACATTCAGTTATAGTGGAACATTAACTTCTCACTTAACTGCTCATACTTTAGAGCCTGTGCCTAAAACATTTGTTGAATTACTTGATTATGTAAAGAAAGGAAAGATTGCTTGTGGTACGCATGATTCATCTTATGTCAATAAAATAATAATGGTAATATTTTCTTTATATTTTATTACTTGTCAATATCATCTCTTGCATTAAATGTAAAATAAAACTTGTTATAAAAAATTTTACTATCATGATTTTATAGAAATCTGATAAAGGATTTCTTAAAGATATAAGAGATCATATCGTATCAAACAACAATTTTTATGGTATGACAAACATGATGCCACGTGCAAAAAAAGGTAGAATTGGACTTATTTCTTATGATATGGCTATAAAAATATGGACAAGTAATGATGAAGAAAAATGGTTTATATCTGACGACGCACTCAAATCTTTGCCTTATGCATTTCCTATGAGAAAGGGATTTCCATTAAAAAACAAATTTGATTCTATGTAAGTGAGAATTTGAATTTTTATACAAACTTTCTAATCTATGTTTTCTATGAAACTTTATATTAAAGAATGAAATGGTGGTGTATGAGTGTCATATTTCTCTAATTCAAAAAACCGGGTGTATACCATTGATATAAATCTACTTGCTTTTACGTGATTCATATGCTCAATTCTATACTTTAATTTTTATTATTTTCTTATAATATTAACTTTTTAAGTCATTAACAAGACTTACTTTCATTTTTATTTTAGTATTTCTAGATTTATCGAAACCGGTGTAACAAGTAAAACTGTTGAAGACATACGGTACAAAAACCAGAAAACGGTAAGAAAATTTGAAGCATTGGATTTAACAAACTTTTTGGGAGCCTTCTCTCTTCTTCTAGCTGGATATTCGTTAGCAATTATCTGCTTTATTTTAGAATTGTTTATAGGAAAGCAGTTTAGAAACTGTTATTGATCGCGATAACATTTAAGTAGAAAGAGATGAAGTTGTTTTGAATAGAACGCTTCTGTATCTCTCTACAGTGATACCTCGATACTCGAATTACTTTGAACTCGAACTATTCGATCTTCGAACACACGTTCGAGAGAAAATCGCTCTGCTTTCGATCAAAAATCACTTGCTGTTTAAAAAAATTATAAGTTAAAACTAAATATATCTTTTTTACTTTAATCTTTCTATCCATAAAGATTTTAATGATAAAATGAGTATCTAATTTAAAAATAAAATTAAACCCTAGCGATATCTGTTTGACGATGACAGACATCGCTGAGTGTAATTTTATTTTTTTAGTTTCTTACGCGTGGTAAATATGTAGACTAAGTGATTACAAAATGAAAGCAAAAGGAACATTTATTGCACGAAAAACTATAAATGAAAGGAGGTTGTATACTCTATTGAGCTACCTCTACCGTAAATGCACGATGTGATACGGGCAGTCATGGAGGCATTCACGTGCGGTATGGTGTCCTGCGACATCTCGGTTCACATTTCTGGCAAACAGTCATCTAGTTTGGCCAAACTCCTAGACTGTTTAACTTGGCGTCCCAGATGATCCCAGACATGTTCGATCGGTGACAAATTAAGGGACTTGGCAGGCCAGAAAGTGTGGCAATGGGGCAGAGGCAGTTGTGTGACACCCATGCTGTTTATGGTCGAGTATTGTCCTGAAAATTGCTCTTGGAAGTTATGTCACGAGAAGCAACAGATGGCTGCAGGATGTCAGTAACATACCGCTGGGCTGTTGTTCTCCCTTAAATCACTACTATAGGTGACCAAATGTTGTATATGTTGGCATCAGAGATCATCACACTAGTTCTGGGGACAGTGTGCCACTTCAAAACATAGGAAAGATTACGGCGTTCACCACGGTGTTTCCATACACGAACAATGTCATCCTCAGTGCTCAATCTGAATGTAGATTCTTCGACGTAGACAATCCAATTTCATTCCTTTGTGGTCCAATTTTGAGGAGAGCGACACCAGTCTAAACGGAAGAGACAGTGATGATGGTCTGACGAAACAGAATGGAAGAGATGATGGTCTGCCTATGGCGTCCTGCTCATAGGCTACGTGTGTGCAAGCGTTTCTCTCTTTTCCACTGGTTCCAAAACCTCATTATTGTCAGAACAGTCTAGGTGGCAGACGAGATGATCATCCAACTTTTCACAAACGAATGGACCTTTTCCTCTGAAATTCGAATAGTTCTTTTTATGGACAGAGATTTCGATATAAAGGTATCTCTAGTGATACAGCGTTTTTCTGAAACAGATAAACTACAAACAGGATGTCTTTGCACGCTTTTAACAGACCAAGGGTAGACGCAATTTGACACCCTCTGCAGGCATCACACCATGAGTCATTACTATAACTGTAATCATTTTAATTTCTGCTTGAGACTTAACCACTATTCGAAATTTCGAATCGATACGACAATCTGCTGCGATAATTTTTATGGCACAATATCAACTTTTTTAATGATCTATGACAAAAATGATACAAAAATTACCAAACACTTCATTAAATCAGTTTATTAAATTTACATAAATATTGTCTTAGAAAAAATAAAAATCAAACTTCATTTCAAAGGTTTCAGTACGAATTTTTTGTAAAACACAAAACTATTAAGTTGTTGTTATAGTTAAGTAATAACATAAAAATTAGTTAAATACATAATAAAACATATACAAAACTTATACACAAATCCTTATAAATGTATAAAACTTATTATTGTCAATGAAATACTGTACGTAACATTATACTTATATTTTTAGTTAAAATTATTCATATTATAATTTTATACCGTAATATTGAATGTTGACATTTTTATAACTATTGTTAATAAATTAATTACCAACTACTATATGATTTTACGAGGTAAATTGAGTTTTACAATATCAGACTATGTATCTATAACGAGATCCATCAATTATACAAATAAATATGTTGCATTATGAATTAATTTTATTAGTTTTCTCTCTATTCTATATCCAATAAAATCAATAAAAACAATTTATATTAATTTATAATAATTTATAAATTTTAATATACAATAGAGCGTCGATTATCCGAATCAATTGGAGACTGGAGTTGTTCGGGAAAAACGATATTTCGGATAACCGATTATGTACGAAAAATATATTTACGTATCCCATGTTGAAATTTTTCTCCGTTACGTGTCGCTTCGCGTTGGATTTTCGTCGAACTTAAGCCTAACGTAAACTTTTTAAGATAATAATTGCGACCATTCTATCTTTAAAAATTATTTCTTTATTTTGTACAAACAAAATACATATATTAAAAAATATAAAAACAATAAAAAATTGTAGTTCAGAAGTTAATTTAGTATCAAAAACGTGAAATATTTGAGTAGCTTAAGACATAGCCAAAGATTGCAGCGCCACAGCACTAGCGAAAATTTAAATTTGCCGACTGGAATTATTTCGGATAATCGACGCTCTACTGTAGTTTATAATATTGTCCTATCATAACTGAAATACTTCATATATAAATTAGAATAAATGCTGATGGTTCTAGAAATATTATAAAAATACAATAAATAAAATTTTTCCAAATATATTTCGCATTAATTCTATAAAAGTGTAAAAATTGTCTTAATTAGTAATGAATAACGATGATCTCACTGGCCTTATTGTTATAATTACAGATGCATCATACACCTTTCAGAATTTTATTTATCAACGTATGATGTCCCATACAACCAGGTTACATATATACACTTTGACAACATGGTATTATAATTAAAAACATTTAAAATGAACTTGTAAATGCTAATACAATACACATATAAACATGCATCTATATTACTATGTAACTATTCACGTACAATATTATAACAATATTTATAAGAAAACATACATAGAATGTAATGTTAAATTATTACACCATAACCACACTTAAAAGTTATTCTATACCTCATATAAACTGCTCAGTGATATTCACATCTTGACAGTCCTTTCGTTTTGGTATATTCTACATTTGGTATGTATTTTCATTTATTAGATTCTTTTGTATGTTTTTTATTATAATATGATGTTGTACAAATATAAATATGTAACTTGGCTGTACATAGTTGTTGAATAAGCCGAAATGCTTTCCGGGAAATCATGCATTAATCGGGAAGATGTGTGATGAATCTGTTATCGTAACAATAAGGCCAGCGGGCTAATAGATATTTATTACTAATTAATAGAGAATAACTGATTATAAGCTTATATTGAATGAGTAAAGAACGCCTTAATTTATTAAAATGTTATAAAAATAAATTTTATCATAATTACATCTGTAAGAGATGATTTTATCCAGTTGATATGTAATGAAAAAGGTTCTTTTCTAGTCATAACTTTCCTAGACACTTTCTTGCAAAACTGAATATTTTCATTCATTATTCCAGTATTTCTCATTCTCTACAAAGAATTCTTCGTTATTTCTTATTAGCTGATTAGATTCAGACCAATCGAATGAGGTTAATTTTCCTCCGAATTCCGCTGGGAGATACTTCGGATCAATTACTTTGTAAAGCTCTTCCAAATTAGATCCATGGAAATGTATCTAAAAAATCTTGGTTTAGATATTCTTATTTCTTCATAATTTTAAATACAAATTAAGAATAAATATTATAATCAAAGATTTTTCATTATTATATTGAAAGTGGGATTATATAAAATCATGGTTAAATTTCAAAAGAAACAGTATCTTACAATATAATCCTGAACAGAAATTCAAAACAATACTTACTCTCTGTTTTATTTTTCTTGGTGCAAATGGAAATATCAGTGCTATAATAGTGAAGAGGTAGCTATTGACATTAGTAAAATGCAGGCTATGATATGATACAGGCATGGATTTCTATTAAAAGAAACATACGTAATTTACAAGTTACTTTCAATAAATTATGTATTTTAGTTAACTTTTCTCTTACATACTATTCTATTGTTGTTTAATTTAATGTACTGTATATTAGTGTACTTTAGATCAGTGTTTCTCAACCTTTAAGGAATCGTCGCCCCCTTCAACGTAGTAATGCCCCCTTCAATAAAACCATTACATAGTATCGCCCCCTTCACTTCAAAATTCCGATGCCGTGGGCCAGGGATAACGCCAAATTCGTACTGCATTGAATAGACTAGTGAGTAATATAATGTTATTTGTTTAATTATTGTACGATATAACGAATAAAATATTTAATTAATTTTAATATAATGTTTTACTATATCGCCCAGAAAATTGTTTTTCGCCTCCCAAAATATAAATTGTTACAAATCGCCCCCTCAAAATGGAAAAATGCCCACATGGGGCGATATCGCCCCGTTGAGAAACACTGCTTTAGATGTTACACCTATACAAAAATTCTATTAGAAAATATTACAATTTCAATATATTACAATTTATAAAGACACTCTGTCTAAAAGTATATGTAAATTACACCTGGATAAGTTACACCTGGATTTTGCTTATGTACTGTACTTACTTACTACCGTTAGTACATAAGCAAAAATACATATTAGAAAACTTTACTGAGAAATTAAACTTCTCTCACATACTTAATTTCAGTTACCCAAACGTATCTACCTACGTAAAGAAAAATAAATTAATTAAATTGATAAGTTTTAACATGGATATTCAGAAAACCTATTTTATAATCTAATGAACAATCATTTATTATGACATTGTCACAATACCGGGCTGATATGCATTGTCACAATACAATGCTCTCCATCTCAAATTAGTAGTGGCATATCCCTGTACATCATGTTTTTCTTTAACCTTACAATCGTGTCGGTCATCTATGTAACTCCTTCCAGGAAACATTTTTCAATTGAAATAACATGACTTTCAGTTTGTATCTGAAGTTCGTATATAGTTAATTGGGGTCTCTTGCCCTTATAGTTTCTATGTCTTGTTTCGTATGTATTCTGTTTAATTTCGTTTTCAAGATTAAGGAATGTCGGACACAGCACGTAAAGACAGAGGAAAGACAGTGGGAATTAATAATATACGATTATTTTTTCAAATGGAAGCCCAATGAAAAACAATATACATCAATGAAATCATTATAACTGGCAATAACTGATGCTTGGCACGAAATTACAGGTGAAAAGGAAAAAGATCTTTTTAAAACAATAACAGATAGATATATTAAAAAGCTTTTTGTCTGTATTATTTAATTACAAAAAATACTTACAAGTTAGTTACACTTGACTACTGAATATGCTTATTACACACCAAGCCTAAACCACTAATTAATGCATTTTGGAATAAGTTAAATAGGCTGAGTGTGTAGTAAGCCTGTTCACTAGCCATGTGTAACTAAGTAGTTTTTGTAATACTAGATAGCGTTCATGAAGTAATAAATTAATAAAGTGGGAAAATTGCTTATTTTAAATAAGTAAAGTCAGTTATGAATTAAATTTTTAATGGCTCTAACCAGATTTGGGTCAAGTATATTCTATGCAACATTGTCAAAATTTATCTATATTTTTATTTTATTACTGTATTTTGATAAAATTTTATTGTATGCTATTCGAATAAACAAATATTCAATTCCCTTCTACTGTTTCCTAATCTCAGGTTTATCTCTTTACTAATGTCATTATATCACAGTGGCCCTATCATTTTAAAATGGTCAAACTTGTATCCGTAACTTGTCACAGCCAATATCACGAAGAAGTCGAGATATTCTAGGCAAAAATTTGCCATATAAAATCTATGGATCGAGTTCTAGTTTGGACGTAGGGTTAAAAAGAAGTTAATAATAGGCTTATTTACCTAAAAATGTTTAAATAAAGTTTACTAAATACGAACATTAATCTCTAGAAACAGAAAACAGTTGACATTCTTAAAGGCAAAATAAACGACAGCGACACCTAATTGATAGGAAAGATAAAAAAAAAGAAGAAATTGCGTTATCAGTTCTCATTAAAATGAACCTGAGGAAAGGCACAACACAAATTGAAAAGTTTAATATTCTAAAATCCGTAGAAAAATTACATACATTCTTACTTGAAAAATAAGAAATAACGGAGTTTTCAATTACAGATACAGTAATGAAATTTTGTACGGAGAATTTCCCAAGTTCTCGAACCGTGCTAGTTTAAAACTGTGTTGTAAAATGCAGTGTTGTATGAGAGGTACCAGTGTTAAGTTAAAGTTGTTTGTTCACATCTTTCTCGCTTTGCTGACGAGTTGCGATTCACACCAAGGACTCATCATTATCATTTTAGCGGTGGTTGATGCAATGTGTTTTTTAAAACGAATTTCAGAGCAACTTTAATTATAAAATAAAAAAAGTACAGACTACAATATGAATACAGGAGGGTACCAAAGTAGATATACAGCCGTTATTATGGGGGAAAACATAGAGGGGGAAAAAGAGGTTTTATGGACAAATTAAATGACAAATAATGAAAACGAACTAATAAAAAATAATGAAAATAATAATAATGAACACCAAACAAGATATTTGTATCTATCAAATTCTCAACTTGATACTTACATTTGCAACCCACTTGTATAAGATTCGGTGTAGTGTACAATATTTTGAAAAATGGTTGTTTTTGATTACAGTTGACCCCCCCTATAACACTGTTGATTTTTCCGTTTGATATGAATTCTATGTTGTATGAGTCACATATATTTTACAAATAAATGAGCCGTTCACAGCCCAGCACGCATATTTGTAAAATCTAAATGACTCGTACAACATAGAATTCATATGAAATGGAAAAATTAACAATGTTATAGGGGGTCGACTGTATTCGGATTAGAGAGACTCTGGATGAAAATCTTTTGTATTTTATAATAAAATGACAAGTTATATTACTTTAAATCGTTTGAACAAACAAACCAGTTGGGTTGTTTAAATCTAAACTTTTTGTTTCATAATTTTATTCCAAAAGCTTTAAGTCATTCAAAGAGAAGTAAAATAATTTAAGTTTTATGGCAGAAGAATTTAAGTTGTTTTAATTAAATAATGCCTAGAAATTATTGAATATAAATAAACAGAATCTTTATAAAAACAATACAAACTAAAGGAAAAAAAACACAATATTAAAATAATTGCATATTATATGAATTACATTCTAAGAAATCGTTTCTTTAAAAATTCTTCTAGCTTAAAAATCGTTTATATGAACTTCTACATCAAATTTCAAGCAATAATATTTATTTCGTAAATAGCTTAAACGTGTAAGAAATTGTTATAATGTACTCACATAAAAACATGTTATAAGAAGTTTCACTACTCTCGGAGTAAAGCAGATTACATGCTTCCATGATAACGTTTTAATATCCACAATTATGTGTACCCCATTCACTTGTAGGCGATGATCATTTAAATTGAAATCGATATGCATCAATATGCCTCTTCCTAAATCTATCGCAGATATTTTTGATGGATCCCAGTGGCCTGTACATAAAAAAAAACACTTTTAATATGACTTATAAAAATTATTAAATTAACATTATTTTATCAAAGTAACTTATATTCGGTAGTTCAGTGTTATACATACTTGCTCTACCGAATCCTAATCCCATACCACCTTCAACGTACAAATGAGCCATGACGTTCGATTGTAAAACATGTTCTATTGCCGACGGTCGAAGATTTTTTAATTCATTTACGCTTCTTCTAACTGAATAATAATTCTTGAGTAATTTCAAAGCATTATTTTTATCGTATTTCCTCGACCTCAGAAAACTTAACAGAAACATATCGTCTGTTCTCGAGTTCAATTTTTTTTCCTCTGTGAATACCAAAACTATTATGTAAAAATATAAACTAGAAGTAATAATGAATATTGTAGCAACGATAAGTCAAATAAATTAAGCTTTAAATCGAGTATAAAACTAATAAATCAAAAATTATTTGGTATGAATTTCTTCAATGTATTTATGGCAATTAATTATAAAATTAAAAGAACTACCAGTACATATAAAAAGCGTCAAATTCCTCCCAATAAATGCATAAGACTATTTAAAAACTGGAAATGTTTGCAAAAATCATATAGTACGAAAAAGTTCATATTTAACGAAGAGAACCCAAAAGAACCCAAACTCTTCACCTCAAATTATTACTATAGTTTTTTGCCTCTCTACAACATGCGTTTTCTTTCACAAGTCGTGCTCTGACGGAAAATGTTTTGAATTGAAATATCGTAACTTTCAGATTGCATCTGAAGTTGGTATATAGCTACTCCGGGTCTGCTTTTCCGGGTGTTTCTAAATTTCGTGTTACCTTTCATCTACTTAATGCTGTTCTATTGATTAAGGAGAAACGGACACGCAGACAGACAGACGGACGACGGTAGGAATTTATAGGTTCACAATATTTTTATCAAATTGCAGCCCAATTAGTCAATCTGGCGTAGCTGTGAGGACATTCGAATGTACAAAACTATACAAGTGTGATGCTTTATACTATATACTATATAACATAATTTGTGTAAGAAATTATTTCAATACTGTTATACCCTTCTCTGTGGGAACGATTTAAATAAATTATCTCTTCTATTCATATAATAATTCATTACATAATTTTATCTACCTATGAAAAAAGTTATTAAATTATAATTTGTTTTTTCGAACATCTCAAAGTGCAAAATATAGTAGTTTTATATATATATTGATACAATAATAAACTATAGATAAAAATCTTATCAATATTTAGCAACAGATAATATATTATTTTTATATAATAAAAGAAAATTGATACATTTGTAGTCAACTTTGGATAACAATCATGAAATTTATTTTCGAATTATTAAATAAGTATTTAATAATTCATCACTAAATTCAGTAGTAAATAAGTCATTTAATTAAAAAAATACATCTAAAACGATTGGAAAACTTCCTTTGCTAAGTTATGGCAACGTAACACTTGGACGATCTCTCTAGGAGGGTGCACTCCGGGACGTCTTTTAAGGGAAACTGACCCCTATTTAGGGGTTACAGATGTGGGGAAAACCCCAAAAACTCCAAGTAGCCTGCTCGTCCTGGCCAGGAGGAAACCCACGACCGAACTCCCAGTGTTTAGGGTACGAAGACCTCTTGGCCACTGGCGAACCCATTGGGAAAGTCTTTTCATGCATCAGAATAAGTCGGCAAGCAAACAATTTTAATCACGTTTTTACGTTTTTAATGCTTTTTATACTGATTAAAGTAATAATATTAAAGGTTTTAACTACCAACGTTTGTATTTAATTGTATTTTAACGTTAAAATACAATTAAATACAAACGTTAAATACAAATTATTAAATAAAGTAAGATTCTCCTGAACATTTTTGAAAGAATAATTACGATGATATAATAGTTTTATAGTAATATTATTCTATATACAGGCATGCTGCAGTTTCGAATACAATAAATAGTTTTACATAAAATAGTATATGTTATCGAAATTTTAGCTTACGAATATCAGCAAACATAAAGTAAAACAATATATATTAAATACGTACTTAGCACCATCTCCCGGAATTCATCCAGTTCCTTTTTGTTCCATGCATATTGTTCAGCTCTGTTTATATCCTCACTCTGAACGATATTCATTGCCGCACAATTAAGTGGACCTTTTTCTTTGTTAACAATTGAATTTCCAGTTTCTATCTTGGCAACGATAAACAATTTTAAAAGTTAAACTTACTTACAAATCACTATTTATACAAACTTATTTATGTGATTCTGTCAATATTGATAAGCTTATCTCTCTGTGTTTGTTATATCTACATTTAAATTGATAATTATGGTAAATATGGGTCAAAGTTTTTTAATGTTGGAAAATTTTAAAATTTTGTAGTATATTTTACAATTTAATTTTAAGTTTAACAAGATAACAAATACAATTTAATTATAAATAACAAGTAAATTTTTATATTCTGAATTCAATTGTTATTTACAAAAATATATGCATATTAATTAAACTGTTTAAGGTTAATGACTTCAAGCTACAGAAAAGATAAAATTTGTTTATATTGTCAAAAGCTATTACATCTAACTACACGTGTAATGAATTATCTCTCTATAAGAGGTTAGTTCCGTAAATCTTCTGATTATACATAACATTTACACTAATATAAATATATAAAAACTTATGTCGTCAATGGGGAAATTTATCTTAGTAAAATATCGACTAAAAATATTTTAATTATTTGATTATATCAAATCTGATAAATATTATTTAAATTATAAAATATACAGAGAAATAACACCTTGCTCCCAGCAAGTAAATTAAGTATATTGAATAATTTCTTACACGTTCAGCTTAATATACATCCTCTTCATGTTTTTTTGCCATTGTTATAGAATGTCCTCATTATAACTGTAGATTATGTAAACACGATGTTAATTATATTAAAAGTGCTTGTAGTTAAAAAGTATAAATATTATAGCAAGGGGGTGTTTCTGTGTTTATGCAATACCTTTATTTTTGGCGCAGAAAACTAAAAGTATTACCATTTGCACTTGTATAAATGTTCAGGTTTGACTCGTATTATTTGTTTGATACTTTATACTTGAAATATGCATTAATCTGCATTTTAATTTTGCATATCATTTAGGATATGATTTTCTTCAACGTCATCATTTCTGTCTGATATTAGTATCAGCCAGTGTTTTTGTATTTGTAGAAAAATTTCGGTTATAAATATAACTCAATTTTATTTATTTCATTTCAATAATGCGTTATCATAAACTACTTGGTAAAGTCATTAGATAATTAGAATTTTATAATAATTTTTATAAGAATTCTTAAACAAATTCTGCTTTATTTTTCGATCTGCTTCACGAAACACTTGATTCATTAGTCCACAAGCTTCTGGATTTTTTCAAAAAAGGCCTTTTGATGTGACCCTTAACCATTGTTTTTTTCAAAGATTTATACAAATTAAAATCTGATAGCACCAAGTCTTAACTGAATAGAGAATGTTCCATCATTTTAAATTTCAGATCACTTAGTGTATCCAATGTACGTGCTGGTGATCAATAGATTTACACCCTACTGCTACATAATTTCCTACATTCCATGTTAACATGTAAAATATGGAGAGCCATCACTTCTGTGTTCATCACTGCCAATTTTTCTTTCGTTTTAAAACCTCTTCATTTATTCATACTGTAATATATGTTGAGATTTAAATTGTAATTAAAAGTTAAATTAAACTGTAATGTGCCGAGGTTATTGGCTAAATGAAGTTTAGCCAAGAACGTCGTTTCATTCGCTTGGCAAAACTTTATTTTTCGTGCGGACTTACAGAGACCTTGTAATATTCAATGTCCGTCTTGTCAAAAGATCCAAAAATGAACAAAAGTATGCAGAATTTTGGGGGTTACACTCTTTTGACATGTGAGGTTGATAGCGGTTTTCTGAAAGTAGTAGAAGTGTTAACATGTATATCATACTTGGCGGCCATTTAAGTGTGTAGAGAACAACAAAACAGTTTTATATTGCCAAGGAACTAATTATAAAAAGCAACAGACAAAACATATACGATCCCCTGATAAATGAAAAATTTTTAAATTGCAAATTATATAATCTTTTGAATTGTTAATTTATATTCGGAAAAAAAAATATATATATATATGGACATGTATGTCCCTATATTTCACTTTTCCGCCAAAACTACACATCGCATGTGAATGGTGTTTGCATTTGGTAGTAGCCCCAAGTCTCCATCTGTGCACCAGGGGGGTTGCGTCTCGATAGCTATAAGGGGGCGAGAGATATGGGGCTTAAAGTGGTTGAAAGTGGCTTTCTATTTCGAATGTTTTGTTCGAATTTGTTCGAATTAAATTCGAACTAATATTCGAATTTTATATTCGAATATTGGTTCGATTATAGAACGATTGTAAACGTTCCAGAAACGTTGAAAATAGTTCGTTTGACTAAACGTAAAAATTCTCTAATTAGTCTGGAAACGGGGGACCTAATTCTTGCATTCTGTGAAAACGGGTAAGATTAGCTATAATGTAATTATCTTAA